TGCTATCATTTAATGCATCTAATAGAAATAGGATAATATTCAACAAATCTGACAAAAAAATATATTTATCTATCTTTACCAGTATATCTTTTTAATTTCAATGCACATTGAGCACGTGCTGCTAAGACTTTAGAAGTAAAATGACTATCTGTTTTATCATCATTAGTAAGGGCTTTGGTATAAAGCTAAAAGAAAAAGAATGTTTTTTTTTTAATCTCTATAATATAAAAACCAATATTCTTCAAATGACGAACTTCATATGCTTCTTCATATTTATCATCAACAAAGGCTTCATTTGCTTCTTCAAATGTTTGTTTCGACATGATTGTGAACTAAACGTCTATATGACGAACGAAGGAAGTAAATGAAAAGTTAAATTAACGAAATATTATGAAAGAAAAAAAAGCATATAAAAGATCGAATGCCATTCGTTAGCGTGTTTTTTCTCTTTTCTATACTCCCAAACATGTAAGATGACGCAAGATGTCGGTTAAATAATTCATCCAGTCAAGATTAAATTATCAAAAAGACAATATTTATATCAATTGAAATAATAGTATTTTCTTTCGAAACATCAAATTAGGAAATAATGAAGTGATCGATTCGAAAAAGAAACAAATTTATGCATAAAAGAATAAATTTCATTTGGATCGTAATTTTGTTATTATTACTTATATCAAAGTAAATGAAGGAAACAAACATAAATTATTAATATCATCGTCGACTTAGTTTCGTACAGGTATAGATTAAGAAGTATTATGAGTGCTGTAACCAGATAGGAGCTAGAGAAGACTAAGCTCTTCATATCAACGGCTGAGTTTCATTTAGAAAGGAGCTTGAACACCTATTCCTACAGCTTTTCTTGGTTACGTTACTAAGTCCCATATCGGTGTAATTTATTAATATCAATACCGATAGTTGATATTAATGTTATATCTGAATAACTATAAGACTTCAATACTAGGACGATGATATTTCAAGATTTCAATGAAAAATTTAAAATTGTTCTTAGCCAATGAAACTTCTTAGTTTTTTTTGCATCTATACAGAGTCAGACAAATAATGAGTTGCATATTTCAAGTGCGCTTATATTTACTCGAAGTCTTTGGCCATGATTCAGTAAATTAATACCGTCCATGGTCCGTTTTCAATCAATTAACAACAGTAAAAATATGTACACTAAACTTTCTCTATTTTGGCTGTTTGATCGTATGTAGAAATCGAGTCCATATTTTATTCGTATGATAAAGAGTTAGTGTATGATCTGTTTACAGTACGTTACGATCATCCAAATTCATCGTCAATATTTTTGTAAACGGATCGTATTAATACCGAAAATGATCCAAACCTCACATTCAATGACATTCGTCCAAATGCTTTCAGTTTTATGATCTTTTCGGTCCTCTGTCGAATCGTATAGAAGTGTTTACATATCATATGGTTGGATCTACGAGTTGTTCCATTTCATATATGATTTAGTTACACAGTACGACAGACATATATTAGTTCAACTCGGAAAACTTATTGATCGACTATCTTAATTTTTAGTTAATTACAAAAAAGAAAAAGTGTAATAAGTTGTATCAATATTATATATTGAAAGAAATCAATTATAACAGAAGTAAGTAAAGAACAAAGAAAATTGAAACATGAAACGAATATCGAAAAATTCGGATTATTCAAAACTTAAAACGACATCACGTGATTTTGATAGCGTTTCTTCCAGTATGTTGAATAAATCATGAAAAACAAAATGCTTGCTGTTAATCAAACTCAGAAAATTAAGAAATTCGTAATAGTCTGCTTTGCTAGCCAAATTTTGTGTTTAAATGCATTCAAGATTTTGAACATAGCAAAACTAATGAAAATCACTACAATAGCTGATCAAAACATGTAAATTTCAAAAGAACAGACATATTTTAACGAAACTTCAACGCATTTTTTTTCGAAGGTCATGTGTCTGTCTGTGTACTTCTTTATTAAAACTATGCCAAATTAATGCGAGAGTTTTATTTGAACATTTTATCATGTGATAAATTGTTAAGAATTAAGAGTTGAATTTGAAATGTTTTTTGTTTTTGTTCAGTATTTTTATCCAATGCGTATTTTATTATTGATGGAGTAAAGACAATGGTGACACATGTAACCCTGAGATGTAGAGAGCTGCATGTTCTTCCAGAGACGGGATCTGGTCCTAAGTTTAATTTATTATCCACAAAATGTGAACTCGCAGTTCCTCCTACTGAGATGATAATAAAATGACGACATATTGTACAGATTTATTCTGAATATTCGAATTTTTTTCTTTAATAAATATATGATGGATCCATAAAACAATGGAAGTGATTATAAACAAAATTTTACAAAGCAGAACAAAAATGGTATATATATATATATTCATTGGGTTTTTCGATAGATGGAGGTAGTTATCGAATACTCGATTTATCGATCGTTGAACAATTTTTCTCACATTGAATATAATGTATAAAATTTTTTTATGAACATTATTTTGTATTTTATATATAATATTTTCTATTAATTTTTTTTCATTCGTCAATCACTCATATCCTCATTGTGCGTGTTCCTGTATTGGGAAAGCGTTATTTATTTTTTTTTCTTTCTTTTCATTTTAATACAGCAATAATCATTTTTTTTCTCTTCGATATTCAGATTTTTAGATCAATAAAACTATTTTTTACAAAATAATGTCCAGTCACGGTCGAGATTCCGGTGGTGGTGGTGACGAGTAAGATTTAATTAATTAATAAAATTTATATTGCTTCAATATATATATATATATATGTATATACGCAGACATGGAAGTGGTCATTCAAATGATGATTATAATTCAGGACGAGGTGGTAGTGATCGAAATAATTATGATAACAATAGGTGACTGTTTTCAAATATAAAAATTTAATTGATTCTATTTTTGTGTATTATTATTATTGTTAGCGGACAAAAACGAAATTATTCTGATCATAGTTCACGTGGTGGAGAAGGTGGAGGTAAGAAAATCTTTGTCGACTCTTGTATGTCGATTTTTGAACTTCAAAAATTGACAATTCATACAGGATGATAATTGGCGCCAGCACACACTTTGTCCTCTCTGCAGGTTATGGAAGCGGAGGTAGTGGTCACAATCGTGGACGAAATGATAATAATGAAAGTGGAAGTAGTGGCTATAGTCGTGGCCGAAATGATTATTCAAGTAATAATAGTGATAATTATGGTGGCGGCGGCGGCGGCAGTGGATTTAATCGTGGTCGAAATAGTTATCAAAATAATAGTGGCGGTGGTGATGATTCGCGTATGGAAACACAACGTGATACAATTTTTATTCAGAATTTACCTCGAAGTGTAACTGCATCGGAACTTAAGGATGTATTTAGCCAAATTGGATTGATTAAAGTAGAATATTAAATTTTTGTTTTCAATAGTTTTGAGGTTGTTTGTTTGTTTGTTTCTTTTTAATAGAATGATAAAAAGACAGGTGCACCAAAAATTTGGATTTATAAAGATAAAGCCACTGGCGAAGGTAAAGGCGAAGCCACAATTACTTATGATGATGAAGAAGCAGCACAAGCCGCTATCAATTGGTATGATGGTAAGAATCAATTTTTTTGTTTTTGTAATTAATCATATTTATTTATTATTTGATTAAAATAGGAAAAGAAGTTCTCTCAAATATTGTTCAAATTTCTTTGGCTACTAGACGTGCTTCAGCATTCGGTGGTCGAGGTGGTCCTCGCGGTCGTGGTGGATTCCGTGGTCGAGGTAAGAACAAAATTATGATTTTTCTTTTTAATATTTATTATTTTAGGTGGTAGTGGCGGCGGCGGCAGTGGTGGTGGTGGTGATTTCGGTGGCTATCGTGGTCGTGGTAAGTGTTTTACGAGGAAACCTACTAAGCTGTTAATTGTTGATCGAAGTAATATTTTTCTCATAAATAGGATTCAGTGAGATTAAAAAAGCTTGAAAGAATTTTTTCTTTTAGACATTCTTTATGAAATTATAACTGTTTAATCGGATTTTTCATCTATAAATAGGTCTCTTAATTCTTAGAATATCCTGAAGGTTTCAGCCAAAACAAATGGTTCCTTTTCAACATATTGAATACTGAATAAAATTTGGCTTGATGACATTTTTATAGCATATGATTATTTTTTTGAATATTCAATATTTCAAAAAGGAACTATTCGTTTTGATGGAAACTTTCAGGATATTTTAATCATTTTGAGAACTATTGATGGACAAAATTTCAGGTGAACAATTCTTTTTAATTTTTCTATGAATATCTTGCCATAAGCCAAAAATCCGCTAAAATACTCATAACTGCATAAGAAACGTCTATGATGAGTAGTCCTTTCAAGCTTTTCCTAGTCTCACACTGAGTCCTACTTATGAGCAAAATATCATTTCGATCGACAATTAACAGTTGGATATATTTTCTCGTTAGACTTTTAAAGTTATCCTACTACTTGTTTATATTCATTCATAGGTGGAGATCGTGGCAGTGATTATCGAAGTGGTGGTGGTGGTGGTGGGGGCGAATATCGAGGTAGTGGTCGTGGTGCAAGTCATGGTTCGAGTAGAGACAATCGTTCTAATCCATATTAAAAAAAAGAAGTATTTGGGTTTATGATGGCAGTTGTCTGAATAAAACAATGACAAACATTCGCTACCCCATGTACACAGCGTATTGATGTCTTTTTTTTTCTTTCATTGTTTGTTTGTTTCTTTTTTTTTTCTATTGCTGCTCTAAGCTTTCTCTTTTTCATATATGTCTTTGTCTAATTCTTTCAAAATACAAGATACAGAGACAGAAACAATCTATGTGGTTATGACTTGTATTTTTCTTTTTCTATATATATAAATGTGTATGTGTCTGTGTGTTTGACAACAAAATTTAAAAAAAAACAGAGGAAGAAAGAGAAGATTTATATCTAAATTGATTATGTGACTAGGTGTTTTTTTTTTGTCTTATGATATTGCAGATAATGTTACGAACATTAATCTATGGTGCTAGACAAATTGTTACGGTAACACGTAATAATAAGGAAAAATTCCTATGCGGAAAAGATATGCACGCTATTGGAGTAATCAAATCGGATGCAGGTGGTTTAAGTTTAATGATTGAAAAGTGAGAAAAAAAAAGAAAAATTAACTAAAAAAAAGTAGGTGAAGGGTTTCTAATGTTTACTAATCTTATTATTTAAAACTAAAAAAAAACCAAAGAATTAGAGTTAACTACTAAATATTGATATACATTTTTATTTTTCTCTAGTGAAAATATTGTTGCAATTGGAACTGATGATGCTATTGCACGAGACTTCGAAGGGATGGAAATAGATAACAAAATCGATGCATCTGGATGTTGTATTCTACCAGGTTAGAAACAAATTTGAAATTCTATTTATCGAAATGATTATAAAAAATTTATTTGTTAAGGTTTTGTTGATGCACATACGCATCCAATATGGGCAGGTGATCGAGTTCATGAATATGCAAAAAAAGTATTTATTTTGTAGATTTTTTTCTTTTTTCACTATCGAATATTTTTTTATGATGATGTAAAATAGTTGGCAGGTGCTACTTATATGGAAATTATGCGTGAAGGTGGTGGTATTGGTTTTACAGTTGAACAAACAAAATTAGCTACGGATGAAGAACTTCTTATTGGATTAGTTGCTCGTTTGAAACGTATGCTTCATGCTGGTAAGTCTTAATTTCTTTTGAATATTTTTCTATTGTTTGTTTGTTTGTTAGGTACAACTTATGTTGAATGTAAAACAGGTTATGGACTTGAATGGCCTGATGAATTACGTTTATTAAAACTTCTTGAACAAGCTCGTTCATATATACCAATTGGTATATCAATTACATATTGTGCAGCACATGCAGTTCCAAAGTATGAAAGATGAAAATAATTCTTATGTTGATTTATTTAAATATTTTATTTAGAAATAAAACAGCCGAAGAAATGACAGAAGATATTATAAATAAACAAATAAAAGCATTGAAACAATTAATTGATAATAAAGAAATAGATGTTAATGATATTGATGTTTTTTGTGAGAAAGGTAAATTTTATTTAAATAGATATTAGATACATTACAGAAATTTCGATCGTGACGGAAAATTCTTCATGGCTTTCAGCCCGAGCTTAAATTGACCTCAATAACAGCTATAAAAAAAAAGCCTTATTTCTTTAATTAATTGCTACTTTCCGAAGTACTGAGCAGGACGATATAGTACTCAAAGTGTGAGTCTTCTCTTCAGTCGCATTCAAACACCGTGCACCCATATCGAGCAGGTCCTCATTCACGGCCCAGCACTATGCCATCATCTTGCTGAACAGTACAATTTAATGAAAATGTGTACTGCATCGCACTATAGAATGCAGTAACTAATTAAAGAAATAAGGTTTTTCTTATAAGAGTTAATGAAGTCAATTAAAGCATAGATCGAAAAACCAGGAAGAACTTTTGGTCCAAACTAAAAGATCTTCGGAATTTTGAACCGAGCCGAAATTCCGGGCCTCCCTATTAGATAATTTACAAAATGTGAAATTGTTGGTTAGGTGTGTATGATATTGAACAAAGTCGTCGAATACTTCTTGCTGGTCAACAAATTGGACTTAGCATCAATTTTCATGGTGATGAACTTAATTATACAGGTTCAGCTGAAGTAAGTCGTTTGTTTTTTTTTCTGTGGTCAGATTTCTTTATTTCTTTTTTTTTGTTTTGATAGATGGGAGCTGAAATTGGTGCACGAGCTATTAGTCATTTAGAGTGTATTTCTGAGGAAGGTATCCGTGCCATGGCTAATGCAAAGACATTTGCAGTTATTCTACCTCATACAGGTTATATATTAAGAATTGAAATGCCACCTGTACGAAAAATGATTGATGCTGGAGTACCGGTAGCTTTAGGAACAGATGCAAATCCAAATGCTTTTTCATCAGCTATGGTCTGTTTGTTGCGTTTATACAGTCGATGAAGAATTCTTTTTTTTTTTTGTCTTTCGCTTATTGTTTTAGTCCATATCAATGAATTTAGCTTGTGTTTTATGTCATATGAGTTTAGAAGAAGCATTAGCAGCTGCAACAATCAATAGTGCTGCAGCATTGGGCATCTCGGATAAATACGGATCAATTGAAGTAGGAAAAAAGGCAGATCTGATTATATGTCGATGTCCATCGTAAGATACTGAGTCATCTATCCTTGGTTTTTTTTTCGATTCATTTTCTTTTGTTTAGATGGGAACATATTATTTATCAATTCGGTGATCATACTCATATAATTCGATATGTACTCAAACATGGTGAAGTCGTGTATGCAAAAAGCGCATAATTATTCTTTTTTTATAAATTAATACAGACTTACTATTCTAGCATAGTAGTTCATTTCAAAGTGTGAAATATATTTTATGTATCATTTGCATTTTGTTTTTCTAAATATGATGTCTAATTTTAATTTTATAACAAAATACTCAAGTTCTATATTTTTTTCGATGTATAACTCAACTATAAAAGTATCCCAATAGAAAAATAGATAGTTGTTCAGTGTCTTTACTTTGTTATTCAAATAATCTAATTATAAACAGTTTTATTCTAATATAGAAATAAAATATAATTTTTTTTTAATATTTTTGTTCATGATCATACATCTGTTTACATTGAAAAACAAAATACGGCTATGGACACAATTGTGAGTAAGATTTTGAGTTTCTGATATTGACATAATTGATTATTTACTTTTTTTTTTGAAACAAACAAATTCAAAACTCTCGGCTTAGTATCCAAATATATGTACTCGGCAGTTTATAAACACTTAGAGATGTAAGCCGATCAACTAAGCCACTGCCGCTGCCAACGGTCAAGCCATTCAGCCGCGACACAAAAATAGATGTTTAATTTTTAAAAATTTCCGACATACCAAATCAATTTTTTGATATGTTGCTGTCTAGTCTCTTGTCAATTAGGTCTCTCATCTTTTTCTCTTAAAATTTCTCGAAACTAAGAAAACTTTGTCGAAAAACTTCGGCCATCAGTCAATGCATCCGTTTATGCCTCTATCAGTACTTTAACGCTTCCCATCAGAAAACCTAATTTTTTGAAAAAAAACCGAAGTTGTGCATTTATCATAGAATGATGGAGCGGAATTTTCTCTGAGAAGATCTATGACTTTCGGGGAAAAGGCTTGATTTTGACAGACTTCTGGAAGAAATTTTGATTCTACTTTCCTGTTTTTCAAGAAAGTTTCCTAGTCGTTGCTTAAATTGTTTTTAATTTTGAGAAGACTATCGTTTCATTTGCATCAGCGTTGTATAAAGATTCTTATGTAGTTTAAGAACGACAGATGGTGCTTGTTTATGTCATCTATTATCTGCTTTTAAAAATTCCGCTTGAATACATACGTTATCAGTATGCCATTTTTTTTTCTAGATTTTAATGAAAGAAATTATGTCTAAACTTATTTACCATGTTTTTCAGAACATAATTTTCAATCAGAAAAATTGAAACTTTCCCTACCTGCTTCAAAATAAAACTAAATTTCATTTTTTAAAGATCTAAATAAGAGTAAACTTTTGTTCGAGTAGATTTTTTATAGTTGGTTTCTGTATCGAAAAAAGGTGAGGTTTAGTGTCGTGAAGTGACATTTTGTTTTTGTTTATATCAACATCATATATGCCAAAAGGATCATAAAAAATTAATGGAAGCGAATTTCAAAATTCTGTTCGAATAAAAACTGTACGAAGACATTGGCTTTAATTTGAAACCATCACGAGCTCTGGACTTCTTCTAATGACTAGGTTATAAGAATTCTCCTAAATGTCATCAATGGATCATGAATAAGCCGAAACTTTGTTCTAGTTTAACGTGTTTATCAGAAGCATTTCTCACTGGAGCCACTCATTCCTACAAATTTCAGCTCAAATAAACTTTTCTAAATGGTAAACCTATTCTGAGGAGAGATTCTTCAGTCAACTACTCTTCCATCAAAACATATTTTAAACTAAAGAAATGAAACTTCCAAATGAATAAATCTTCTCAAATTTTTTCCTATTTGATTTTTGCGCAGTTTATGACGTATGCTTTCTCTCATATCTTTAGAACAATTCTCTTATCAAAGAATATGAAAATTTCCTGTTACATTCATGGACTATTTTATCATTAAAGCATGATACATTTGGATAAAATGAAACAACATCAACTTTTTTTTTTTTTTTTTGAATTTTAAAATTACATCAAACGATAATATTAATAAACTAACCTATGTTTTCATATTCTTTTTACTCTTCGAAGCTATTATTATTTCAAGATATGATTTTCTTCACAGGAAAAAAACAATTTAAGAAGTAATTTTCCAAATAAAATATGAGAACACAAACTATTAAAATAAATTTACATACAAGGAAATTTTTTTTTAATTATTTTATTTTGTTTTTAGATAATAATGAAATAATGAGATTTGTTTGGCTTTTCATACAATCACTGGTCACAACAAAAATGAGATACTTTGTTTTAATATGCAACAAAAAAGCTAAATAAATCGCAATCAAACATCATTCAAAAAAGAAAATAATTATATCGTATCTGACTACAAACTAGTAGTAAATCGTCAAAGTTTATTTTTCTTAACCGTATATTGATAATGGTACAAGCGTTTCATGAGTTACATTAATTAATAATCTTCTCGGTGGTCGTCGAATAACAGATGCATCAATTCTCATCTTAGCTCTATTTAATAATCGATCATTTGTTACTAAATTTGAAGCATTACCAGTTGTTGTATTAATATGAATAGTCGATAATGTTGTTGGTGTTTCAAATTCTAATTGAGATTCTACAAATTTTTCCGTTGTACTTTGTGATATAAATTGTTCCGATGGTAATAATTCATTACTTCTTAAGTAACGAATAATGCTCGGTACTAAAATATTCATTATTTCAAATATAAATATTAAATAAAAGAAAATAAACTAACCTAAGAATTTCGTCGGTTCCTGAATATTTGGTGTTTCAATATGAACAACATTAGCTGGTATTAATACAGGACAACATTCTTCTTGTGTTGTAATACTTTCTTTTGCATGAGCAATAGTTTGTTTTCGCGTTATATATGAATCTTTAGTCATCGTTTTTTTAATTTTTTCTCGAGTAAAAAGTTGTCTATATTCAGGTTTCCATGGATGACTTTGAACAAGCGAATAAGGATTTTTTGATACTTTGATGACAGGTCGTTCACCTTTATTTTTTGATTGAGGACGAAAAGGTTGGAATGATCTTAATACAATTGAATCAATATAAGAAGTGCCGGAATAAATATAAACAAAAAAAGATAATTACCCTTGGTTTTTTAAAGAACGTTGTGCATTTGCATTACCAAAATATACGGAACTTGTAACACTAGACGGTTTTGAGAGTGGAAAATTTGTGACTAGTTTTAATTTAGATGAATTATCAAGCTTTTTCAACATCATACGACTCTCTTTACTTAACAAAAATATGACCGATAAAACGACGATAGCTATGTTTTTTTATTTGTCAGCAACAATGAAAGAGAAAGAGATGTTGAAGAAGTACAATATTTTTCCACTTGAGCGTGTGGAATACTATTGCAGAGCGAACGAGAGAAAAAACACTTGTCTAATCGTCATCCACCTTTTTTTTTTGGGTGGATACTCTCCCGTATGTGACGCACATACGATTACTTCAATTTATAATCTAACACGTACAGTTCTGATCATCACAAACTACACTATTTTTGTTATTTTAATTCTGTTTGGTTGTTTCAGCTGATATGTTTATTTTTATAAGAAACAAAAGATTTAAAAAGAACATCTACCTTTCTATTATTCTCATCACGTTCTAATGTAAAAAAAAAAAAAAAAAAACTAACAAAATTTTATAAAGTAATTATTCATCAAACTAACATCTATGTGCTGACATTAAAAAAAATTGTAGGTGAATAACATAAGAAAATAAGGTCTTCGAAAAAAAAAAAAAAAATACTTGAATTGAATTACTGTGAATCATATCTGTTATTGAATAATGTATTTTCAAAACATTGAAAACAACTAATCGAACTCGTGCAACATAATAATACATTGATAGAAAATTCATCTTCTTTTTTTTTTTCTTTTTTTTTGTTAATGAATGTATAGAAATAAAATCTATAACTTAATTGATGTATTCTTTTCTCTCGATCATACTCATGAAAATTATCGATGATGTTTAATTGATGCGATCGAATTAACTACTACGATGTCTATATAATAAATCATCAACATGAATTAGAATTTTGTCGAATATTATTATTATTGATCATGTCTTCAACTAAACAAATGGTAGGTTTTTTTTTTTTGTTCATTCGGTAGATTGGAAAATTGCTTTTGTATTTTTCAGGTAACGAAACAATACAAACAAGAATATATTGAATTAATTAATAGACAAAAAACTGCAGCACTTGAACGATACAAACAAATATCACACATATACATAGCAATTGATCAAAACAAACAAGAATTATTAAGGTAATTCTATCTCTTGATTTTTTCCCTCGTATTCGTTTTTTTTTTGTACCCTAGTCTTTCCAATCAACCAATATGTACACCAAAGAAATTCAAAACTGATGAAGCAATACCAATGACAGATGAAGATTTTCTTATTGCTGAACTTAATGGTCATTTTCAATAATAAACATATATTTTCTATATAAACATTTTTTTTTGTTTTCATTGTTAAATGTAGTATAGTGCGCGTAATGATAATAAATAAAATAAAAAATAACTTTAAGTTAACAGTATTGTTCTTATACTTAAATTTTATGTTCATAATCGAATTTTCTTTTCTTTTTTTTCTACCATTGTTAATTTATGGTCAACGATATTATGCATTTGTTGAAACTTTATTTGTTATTGATTCAAATTATTTTCCAAACTTATCAGAAATATCTTATGAAGATTATATACGTACAATTGTTGATACAGCAAATATTGTAGATAAATAAAATATTTTTTTTTTTTTGTTGCATTTGTTATATTTACTATAGATATTTCAATCAGAAAATGATCTCGATATTAAAATAGAAATAATCATTTCAAATATAGTTCATTTAAATATTGTTCAACCAAAATCACAAGAACCATATGAATATGAATACATTCTTAGACAATCTGTATCTGATTATGATAGGTAAAAAAAAAAACAAAGAAGTAATATCGATAAAATCAGTTTTTAAGTGAATCATTTGCAAAAAAAAATTTGATTTGAATCATAGATTAAAGTTTGGATGCTGATGAAAAATTCAAAAATTGAAATTCGAAATAATGTGCTATTTCATGCACTTATGAGTGAAATTATATGTTGAAGATCGATATATATAGAATGGATCATCAATAGCACTATGATAAAAAATTGAGATGTCTCCGTTCCAGTTTGCTTGAACGAACTGATGTTTTTGTTAGTGGTAGAAATTTATTCAAAGTATTTTTTTTTTCATATGAATAACGAAAATAAATACTACTGTCAAGTAAGAAAAGTATATATGAAGGATTTCATAGATAATTTTCAATTGTGATCTAAGAGAATAACAATAAGTGAAAACGAAATATATTGATGTAGATAAAATAAATTTTCATAACTAATAGTCAATTTAAATGGTAAAATTCGTCCTCCATAAGTAAAACGCATTATTGTAGCCCGTTGGGTATCAAGTTTCTTGCAAAAAAAAAAAAAAATTTCATCTTTGAAAATTCGAAATTTCACAATTGTTGACTTTAAAACAATCTAATGTTCACGCTAGCATTAAAGAGGAGTGGATGTAATCCTAATAACTCGAAAACTGCAATAGTTAGTGATCTACAATTTTCAGCAATCGAAAGAAGAAGACTCTGGATGTGTTTTTATCTGATAATATATAAAACAAAACTATTTTAAAACCTATTATCTTCTCAAAAAATTTTAATGTATAAAAACCGTGTTTCTTTTGGATACAATTTTGATTTTGACATGTGCTTCTTATAGAGAAACTTCAGATTCATAGTTCAAGGCATGCTTCCGGCATTTATCTTCTTATATCTTGATACTAAACAAACGCAATCGCATATCTATTCAGTCAAATTATATAAATTCTATTGATTTTTGTTTAGCAAATTTTTTGAGTTTTTATCAAAATTTCCTTGAAATGAAACACCGTTTTTTTGAATTTTGATGAATATTTTGAGTAGATGATGGGTCTTAAAAAAATTTTGTTTTCTATTATATCAGACAGAAAGACGTCCGGAGTTCTTCTTTTTCGATTTTTGAAAGCTGCAGATCGCTAAGTGTTTGACAACTAAAAATTATATATGAACCACTGCATAGATAACAAGCAAAATTACTTTCATTATAAAAATAATAATACTTAATCGTAGCACTTGCTTATCTTATCCATATGTAAAAAAGCTTTGAATAAATTTCTACGACTATTAAACCGATTCCCATAAACGGTGTGGAATTTTAGAGCTATTGACTGTTTTAGATTTGAACTCAGTTGAATTTGAGATACATATTCAGATTGAATTTCAGATCCGATTTATGTTCTACTTCGAGTCTTGTTAGGAAAAGACTGATGTTAGTTTAACCTAATATACCGTTTCGGTTACGTTTCAACTAGAGACTTATTGTTTCCTGTAAAGAGCTAATTCATAGACAAAATTTTGATCCGTCATTTTGTCATGTAGATAGATCTATGTAGCCTACAGATATTATTAACATATGCTCTGACAATTAATCAAAACTTGATTTTGAATCACGTGTTTAATGAAGTTCAGAAATATAACTAATTATATTCGAAATTGGATGCTATGTGATATTTCTTTTGAAAACATCTTTAAAAAAAGAAAGGCAATTTTACCGATACTATTCTTCTAATAGATACGATTCAATTGTATTACTCTGGTATCAACCTTGGGAAGGACCCAATGCTGCTCAAGGTTATGCTATGTTAAAAGGAGTTTGTCATCCAAGTTATAGTGAGTTAGATTTTCTTTTTTTTGTATTAAATATTCAACAATTTTCGAAAGAAATCATGTATATACTTCCATATCAAAATGCAGCATTTTATCTTGCTCATGAATTTGGTCATCAACTTGGACTTGTTCATCAAATTGATACTCCATGTTATACAACATCATATATGTCAGTTATGACAAAATCACATACAGCTTCATATGAACAAGCACATTGGACAAAATGTGAAAATAATTGGATTAATGAAAATATTTGTCAATTTGAATGTCTATTTAATAAACCAGATAATTATCAACCAATTAAAAATAAATATTCAACATTGCCTGGAAAACGTATGAATAATGATCAACAAGCAAAAATGATTGAACCTAATTCACAATGTTTAGGAGAAGTTTCATCTTTTACATTTATGTCATCCGATGTAGCTAGTCGATGTTTATATTTACGTTATTATATCGGTGAATCAAATGGTGGTATGTTTTAGCTCAATAAATTCTTTTTTTTTTTTTTTTTTTTTTTTTTTTTTTTTTGTTTTTTGATTTATTTTATATAAGAATAATAAATTTTAGAATATAAATCTGCTTATAGTCCGATGTTACCAGGCTCGGAATGTGGTGAAAATTCAATATGTTATCGTGATAAATGTGTTTCAAAGAATGATATTGATCCATTATTATTTAATAATGATTTTGATACTGAAATACTTTATTTAAATACACATTGTAGTTCAAGTAATAATCCTAAAGAATTAGTAGCTAGTAATCATGATATACATCATAATATTGAATGTATTGATTGGGAAAATGATTTTTTATGTGAACCATCACAAATATGTCCAAAAATTGATGATTCAACTACACTTGATCTTTATATAAAACATGTATGTTGTGCAAAATGTTCACCAAAAGGCAATTCTATTGTTGCTTTATTTAATAAAACAAGAATAAATCGAATAGATTCAATGTTTATATTGATGATTTTGATAAGTCTTTGTTTTTTGTTAAAATATTAACTTCGTAAAATATTTGGATGTTTTTTTCTTGATTTGAATAAAAATAAAAACAAAAGCAAAAACAAATTAGTCGTTTTGTTTTTTTGTTGTATCAATTTCATTGTTTTCATATCATTTGTTATTTGTAATAAAGCAAAAACGACAAATCTATCATTTGATGAAAAAATTGAATAGTAAACATTGTCAATACTAGTGGGAGTATTATATTGGTTTGAATTGGCTTTTGTTCTTATCCTTGAAATAAAAAACATCGCACATAGTAGTGCTTCTAAAAAAAGAACGAGCGTTGAAAATGTGATTATACGTACTAGGTTCAAAAGGATATTCTTTGACCTAGATTAAAAGCATGACTTTGAAAAATACATTAGTAGTCTTAAAATAAGATTATCAAAACAATATTTCATATTCAAGAAGAAATATGTCATGTCATCGATTAAATTTCATTCATTTCTTTAGAATTTTTCTTTTTCTTTTTTTTTATAAAAGCAGATTATGATGTAATTATTTTTTTCAACTGTATTACTATGATTGTATATTTGATTGATTCAAAAATCAATATGGATTCATTTAGTTTGCAGCCTTGGATATATAGATTGTCTCTTCTTTTTATGCTGATATACATATAGAAATAACAGAAAAACATCAATAATACACATTTTGATTAAGACAAGAGATATGTGTAAACAAAAATCATTGTTTCAATGTCTAAATATATATTGCTTTTGTTTAAGATTGATGTTTTATCGTCACTAATCAACAATGAAAATCAAGTTTTTATTACGATGATTGTTGTATATAGAAATATTTAAGTAGTAAAAAAACGTACTATTTATTATATTTGAGCATATAGTTATTTCAAGGGTAATGTCTATCGATCGCCTTTGACTTATGCACATATAAGAATGAAAAATAAATGAATAATTAAGTAATGCACGCCGTCAACAATCATACATAGTGAAAGATGTCCTTGATTATGTTAGCTGTAGTACGCGAACGTAATTTTTTTTTGTTTGTGTATGTACATCAAACGTAAAAGTGCTGATAACCAGCAAAAGACGAGCGAAAGAAACATAAATTGCACACTCGACTAACCATGAGGTATGGATGAAGAAACGGACGTCATCAGCTCTCTCTTGCTGAATATAAACTGGGATAAATTATCTTTTTTGTACACTTTCACTCGTTAGATGTAGTTTTGATTTATATAAAAAGAATGTAAACAACTTGTTTATTGGATATAATATTTTTTTAATCTCTAGATAGGTTTTATCTTAAAGCGGTAGTAATAAACTGAAATATGTCCTTGGAACAATCTTCATTCTATCATAATGGTTCCGGTGGAGGTAGGTATATTTTTTATTTTGATGACGACTTTTCGTAAAATCAAGATAGTTAAATATAAATAAACAAAAAAATAAATATATACATATATATATATATATATCTACTTTACCTATACTAATATTATTTATGAGTAGCTTCATACGGATATGATCTTGCATATGGTGGAGGTTTACAAGATGATGCATTTGGAGGTTATTCAGGTTATGAAACAGCATCTACAGCAGAATATGGAGCTGGAGTTGGTGGTGTTGTTCTAGGTGGTAGTGGAGGTATTAGTGGTGGATATTATTCATCATCCATTAATGGTCTTGGTTTGCAAGACGCTTCCGCTGTATTACTAGCCAGTGGTATTGGTAATAGTGGATATTACTCATCATCCGTTGGTGGTGATTATGGTTTAGGGGGTTTCGGACACCAAGCAGCTTCCTTAGCAACGCATTATGCAACGGATGCTCAAGGTCTATATCAAGATCCTAATCCTCACGTTATTCGTCGACCAGCTCCAGGTGGTGCACAAACATATACTCAACGAGTTTCAGTAAGATTTTTACAACCACCACCAGTTCCTCCACCAGGTGTAAGTATTTCAAATAGGAATCGTTTATAATGAATAGAAAAAATTTTTCGTTTTTTTTTTCATCATTTTAGCCTCTTATTATTAAAGAAGTTCGTCCACCTCAACCACCACCACCACCACCACTTTATATTCGTAAGTAGATCAATATTTAAAACAATCTATTTTTATATTTCTAATCATGTAGGACAACGTCCACCACCTCCACCTGTATTACCACCCGTTGTTATTCGTGAAGCTCCACCTAGACTACCACCACCAGTAGCCACACAAGGTAAGATGATTAATAAATGTAGTGACAGAAGAAGAAATCTTTGATTTTCTAGTGATTACTAGGATGCTTCCACCAATACCTGTACCACCTCGTTCGGTTATTATCGAACGTTTACCACCTCTTCCACCTAAACCACGTGATATTATCGTCGAACGTTGGTTGCCATATCGAGTTCAACATAAACGTCGTGTGATTCTCCAACGAGCTCCACCTCCAATAATTCCCAAACCACGTAATATTATTATTTAGTACGTATAAAATATTGATACCTTCAATAATACTTATACTTATTACCATTAACTTATAGTTATGAACCACCTAAAGCTCAGGTTGTTCGTCGATTTGTAAATATGGGTGTTGCATGTGTTAATCCAGCTGAATACGTTGCACGTTATGGAACTCAATTGGAAGATGCTCACTCACTTATTTCACATGCTCGACAAGCTGGTGTTGTTGAAGATATTGTTAGTACATTTTATATCATAAAATCAAACATTATTGTTTGTTTGCCTGTTTTTTTTTTCGTTTAGTCACCACCTGCTGGTGCAATACATGGCTTGCAATCAGCTAATTACGGAAGTTATCAATTAGGTGGTGCTGGCTATGGTATCAGTGGCGGTCTCTCGACAGTAGGAGGTGGTGGCTACAGTTTAGGTAGTGGCTATGGTCTAGGCGGTGTTGGTGGTTATAGTCTAGGTGGTGCTGGTGGCTATAATCTAGGCGGTGCTGGTGGCTATAGTCTAGGCGGTGCTGGTGGCTATAGTCTAGGCGGTGCTGGTAGCTACAGTAGCGGTTTTGAATCATCAGCTGGTGATTCGGGATATTGGGGTTATTCAACTGGTCTTGGTAGCGATAGTGGCTATGAAGCATATTCATCTGAACAAATATATGGTTAAAAAAAAAGACATAGTTTTACTTGTTTTTTTTTCTGTGATAATCTAACTAACCAAATCATTCTTAAATAAAATTGATTATGGCTACATAATTTAATGGTACAGAGTTTAAATTGCTTAGTTCAAGTTTGCAATGAAAAATTAATCTAATCTGTATATAATATTGGATAGTTCTATGTGAAAGTACACCCCCTACTAATGATATTACTGTATTTGTTTATTATGAAAAATTACTAAACCAATTGAATAATACAGAACGAAGAAATAGAAATTCTTTTTTGATTTTCACACATAAACAGTATGATTTTAATGGTCTATATTTGAAATTAACCTTTCGTTAAGAAAAAAAAAAAGAAAAAGAAATTAATATAATGTGACGACATTCAAAATATGTGTGAAATTTTCTATGGTCTTCAATAGTATCGTCTGTATATCGAAGATTTCTATTTGATAAAAAAAGAAATATTAATGAACATAATAGTGATCATATCTTGTCAATTTTTAGTTAATTGTTCAATCAGAACTGTGAATAAGTTTCAAGAAGAAATGTATATAAATAATTTTAGCTTTTAACATTATCAAATGATTAAATATTTTAACGTTTTAATAAAGAAAAAAAATACTCCGTATTTTATTTCAGATGTATGTGAATCTTAATGAATAAAAAAAGTATCCAAAGTATAATAATGTTTAATAGATCTTTTTCTTTTCTGAGGAAAAAAAACAAATTTACTTTTTGTTTATACTATAGAACTTTTAAAAAAAGCTGATCAAATAAGTCAATTACATTCACATAATAATTCTCAAGAAAAGATCGATATTTATCATGAAGTAGCACAAGCATGTCAATCTATTGGTATTTATTTTAAATATTAAAAAAAAAAAAAAAAAAAAAAAAAGTAAAATTCAGTTTATTCTTCCTTTACTTTTATAATCAGGTAATTATGATGAAGCAATAAAATATTATAATCTTGAATTATATGAATCACAATTAGCTGATTTACATGATGATATTCTTTATTGTTATCGATTTTTAGGTGAATGTTATTTATATAAAAATGAATTTTATACAAGTGAAAGATATTATTTAAATTTTTTATCATTAGCAAAACAATATAATAATAATGAACGTATTGAACAAGCATATACATGTTTAGCAAATATATATTGGATATGGTTAAGTTATTTACAAGATGATATACTTTATGATTGTGAATATGATCAATTTCCACGTGATTTATGTAAACGAAGTTTTGATGCAGCAAAAAATAGTTTATTAATTATTAAAAAACTTGATGATAAATTAGAAATTGATATAAAAGAAAAACGTTTTAATAAAATAAAAGATATTGAACAAAGACAACAAGATTTAGCATTAAAACGTGTTAGAAGTTATATTAACATTGGTAAACTTTGAAAGAAATTTTTTTTTTTCTTGAGAAAATTATTTCTTTTTGTTTTTATATCTTTAGCAAATGTTATGAGTGAAAAATATCTAAACGATGGTAAAGATAATGCAAATCTTCAAACTTTTAGTCAATATATAAAAAATGCTAATGAACTTTCGAAGTAAATCATAGGATTTTGTTTTTTTGTTTGTTTTTGTTAGTGGTTGTTTATGAATTTCTAGAAAGTATAATTTTTATGAAGAATTAGCACGTCTTCATTCATCTGTATCAGGCTTTTATCTTTGCTTACCAAATTATTTACAGTATAAACAAGAAATCATTGCTACTATGAAACAAGCGATACATTATGCTCAATTAACAAAAAATACCAATGAATATTTATCATGTTTATATGATATAGCTCAAGTAAGATTTTGTAGCAAATATTCGACAATGTTAAAAAAAAGAATGAAAACTGTAAAATATACTTCTAGATAAAAGTAGCTGCTCCTCATGAAATACTAGTA